ATTGAGGACACACTGACACATTCGAACTTGCAGTGTCCCCTTTTCTGAGACTCCCAGAGATGGTCCCCACAGTGGTCATCTGTGTTTGGGGCCAGCTCATTGTCACTTTCCCATTGTCTGGCAACAGCGTCTTGCCCTCCCACCACTCTGTGACCCTGAAGGGGCTGTTAGTCATAGTATAGTGCCCCCACCCTCCTGGAGGGAGCATGTGACACAGGTTGGCCAATCTAAGAGCTCTCTCCCTGTGGCCCAGGATTGTCAAGTAGGGTCAGTAAGATTTGATTTGTGGATCCAGAGATGTGAGGATGTAGATGTGGGGCTGCCAGCTACTGGTTCCCAAGAGGAGAGAGCCTATATCAGGATGAATCTAATCCAGAGGGAATCAGAGGGAAGGAGCAAGCGAGACAGAGCTCTGTCCATATCACCTGAGCTTTTGGCTTCAGCAATGTCTGAAGCTGGATTCAACAAATTCTCTCACTTGCCTAAACTATACAACATTAGCTCTTTCATCCAGCAGTCCAATCTGTAAATGATTGGTTAGTAGGCAAGTCAGTTAACTTAAAGACAGTTGGGAAGCAATCTGATCCAGAATTTTTTTAGGTTGTTATGATTTTCCTCCTATTCTTTCTTTTTCTAGTTGCCTTTCCTACACTTACACACTTAACTGACATCAGTTTCTGTGACTCACTTTCCAAGTTTTCCTAGTTTTCACAGGAACAAAACTTTCTTTCCATATTCATATTCCATCAGTTTATGCACTATTTAGTTAAATTGCATAATTACAACATGTACAGTGGGAATAAGTAACTTTAGTACAAATGCAACTGACTCTTGGTAAGCCAACAGCTCAACTGGTGAGAGCAGAAGTGCTTTGCCAATTCAAGGGTGTCCTCCTGGCCACCAGCATCCAGAAGCCTATAGCCTTGGACTCTCTTTTTCGCTCTCTTACAACTGTGAGTCCTAATTAAACTTGTTTTTCTTTGATGAGGATTCTTTCTGAGGGATATTGCTGGTCATAAATCTTGCACAGGCTACAATGTTGTCTGGCAATCTACTGGACTTCTTTGGCTAACAGGCAGTTCCATCTCTGCAATGACTACTCCAAGCCTCTTCCAGTCTCCTCACCCTTCCAACCTTTCCATCTCCCCCTTTCTGTCTCAGCACATGAGCTTGCCTTTGATTTCACAGAGAAAACGGAGACCATCAAACTTCGATTTCCAAGCCTAGTTAAGTTACCTAGAACTACGCCTGTCATTTCTTCTCGCTTCATAGAGAAGCCGCCCCTACCTGTTTCATGTGACCTGGATCCCAGCCCATGGGAACCTTGTGCCAGCTGTGGTTCCCACTTCTTCCTGTTCTTTATCCACTCCCTCTCTATGGGTCTTTCTCCCGCTGTCAAATATGCTCAGTTTGTTACAACATACAGTGGATCTGTCTGTGTCTGGCCACCCAAATTCCACTCCTCCTTCTGGGGAAACATCTTGTATGTGCCATCCGGGTGGGCCGTGGGTGCTCCTAGAGATGCATTCCATCAGCTATTCCTCTCCCCTTCCGAGGACAGAGGGCACATGGCTGTAAGTCAGTGAATTTGAGCTGGGACACTGAATTTGAGCTGATGGGCACACAAAGGACAAACAACTGGAATCCTTCCTTATGTGGTGGTGACAGGGTGAGGCTGTGGAGTGGCTCCTGCTGCTGAGGTCTGGAGTCACCTGGATCCTGTCTTGAAGAATCAAGGGGAACTCTCCAGCATTAGTCATCATTCTGAGCTCCCTGCAGGCTTCCAACACATTCCCTTTTTGCTTAACTTAACCAGAGTTGTTTTCTGCTGCTTGAAATCAAGGAATTCTACACGAGGCATAAGGCAAACCGATGAGGGACAGTTCAGATCTATAGGCAGGGAGGGGTTTCACATATTAAAAAGCAAACCATAAAAGAGAACCAAAACAAAACAAAACAATTTCTTTCTTGACCCCACATCCTTCCCAAGTGACACCTTTCTTTCTTCTCCCCTTTATGGTGGTGCTCAAAAGTGTTTTCTTCACCTGCGCTATCTTTGATTCTCCCCTCCAACTCATCCCTCAACCCACTCCATTAGCTTCTGTTCCATCACCTTGTTGAAACTGGTTTCTCTGAGTGCCACAGGTCACAGCACTATCCCAGTTTCCCTTTTTCTTTTCTTGGTGTTCCCTCTCAGTCCTTTGCTATCTCGTTACTCACAGCTGGGTCCTAGGACCTTTTCTCCACACTCTCTCTGAAGACCTTATTCACTTCTGTAACTTCAGGGACCCTGTACCCGGGATGCCCAGGCCGCCTAGGAAACTCCAGTCCTACGTGCCTGTCCACCTGAACTCCTGAGCACACCATACTTGCTCTTCTTCTGTCAGGGTTCCAAGTCTCAGGAAATGGCACTTGGCCCTTGAGATCCTAAGCCAGAGCCTCCTCTCTCCACCAAAGCAACCAACAAATCCCACTCCTACCCCCACACCATGCAGTCCTGGCTTACATCTCCAGAACTTAACACAGGAGGAACTTGATAAATATTTGATCAAATGACTGATAGCAGTAAGAACACGCTACAGAACACTTTCACAAATCCCATCTTCCCCACAGCCCTGTGAGGCAAATATAATTATTGTCACTCTGCAGATGAGGAAACCGATGCCCAGAGAGATGAACAGTGTTGCCTGGGTGTGGGATCAAAGAACCAGAGAATGGATGTGTGTGTGTGTGTGTGTGGGGGGGTGCTGCGGGGAGTGTTGAAATTGCAATTCATGTCTGACTCCCCATCCTGGGCTCTCCCTGGGCAGCCAAGGGAGCTTCCTTGACAAGCCACAAATGAAAGAAGACCAGTTGGACAAGGAGGCAAGGCCAGGGTGATGCTCAGAGACACTGGTGGCTGGTCCAGCCAGGCTGCGTCTGCAGTGCGGCAGACATTTGCTGGCACGGAGCTCCAAGCAGGCCTCCTTGAAACACTCAGGTGAGGAGCTTGGAGGGCTCTCAGATGCTCAGGGAGCTGGGAGCCCCAGGTTTGAGTCCCAGATCTGGCACCAACTCTGTGTAACCCCACATAGCTCATCCCTTCTTGGTGCTCAGTTGACTTCCCTAAAAACAGACTATGAGTAAAATTTCTGAGATGTGGAGGAAGGAGGGGTCCTAATCCTGGGCAGGGGCAGGAGTGGGTGGTATCCTCAGCAAACAAATCCCATATTTGCCCTCTTGGGCAGGATTCTTCCTGCCAGGCTGTGTGTGGCGGGGAGGCCAAGTCCTGGAGCCTCTACTTGGACACCTTTGTTGGCTTCCAGTGCTCAGCCCCTCAGGGGAGCCATCTGCCAGGCTCTAGGATTGTATGCTAAGGCCCCACTGGAAAGGGTCTTCCTGAGCAGAACCCACCAGTGAGTGATACCAGTGAGTGAGCCCCCAACTTGAAGCTGTAAGTGACCAGGGGTGGAGGGGCAGAGAAGACAGGACCAAGGTTTCCAGGCCTTAAGAAGCAGGATCTCAGGCTGCGGGGAGCAGGCAGTGGTGCCTATGGTTCCAAGTCATGCAGGGAAGCATGAGGGAATGACTGCAGGGCCAAATGCTGTGCCTGACATGGCAATACCTGTTGTCACCTTGGGTCTATGAGGCAAACTGATGAGGAGCAGCTCAGACCTACAGACAGGGGTACTAAGGATTGGGGGCATCCCACATGTAGAGAACACACTAAGGCATGGGGTGGCTGGGTGCAAGGTCCAATCTACACCTGCAGCATCGCACTGCACACCCCTCTCCTGGGCTAGGTGCCAGGCTAGGGGGGCTACGAGGAAATGAATAGTGCACGTTCCTGCCTGGTCTTTTCATTCTCAGTCTCGCTCCCAGGGCTGGGGGGCTTTCTGTAGACCCCATCCTGATGCTCCAACGGCAGTGCAGGGCTGCCAAAGCCGAGGCTGAGGCCTGAGGACTTCCCAAACTGGAGGCGTTGAGATGGTGTTGGCTCCCAGGTCACTGGGCCAGAGGAGGTGCTGACCTCTTAGCAAATGGCTGGTCAAGCAAATCAGGGGTCCTTGGAGCTGGGGTCAACAGAGGAGGGCTGACATTGGGACCCAAATCTCGGACACTGGGGCCCAGAGACAGGAGAAGCTCTTCTTACCACGTGGCCCTTGGGGGTAGGTGGTAGGAACCCCTCGAGGGTGTAAGATGGGGTATAAGGGGTCTGGGGCAAGCATGGACTGGTGAGCAGCCCTCAGGCCACCTGCCTGGTAGGGCGTGACCTGGTGTTCCCAGGGTCTGGACTGGCTCCAGGCGTCGTGGGGCGGGGTGTGAGCGAGGGAGGGCGTTTTGGGGCTGCAGGAGCTGCCGGAAGGGGTGTGAGCTTTGGGTGGGGTCGTCTCACCCCCATACGGCTATTGCACACGCAGGCTCTTAGGGGCCCATGGGCGCGGACTGGAGATTGAATGCCCGGAGTTGGGTTGGGCTGGGATGCAAAGGTGGGGACAGAGACATGGGCAAGGAAAGGGATGGGAGAATATGGGCCTTGCTGGCAGGGCTGAGGACGCAACTCGCAACTCGGGATGGAGTATATGAGGTTGGGCGGAGGGCTCAGTAGAAGGCCGGGAGGGTGGAGGGGCCATGGAGGCAGAGCTCAAAGGACCAGGGTCGGTCTTGGGGGTCCAGGAGGTTGGGACTGTGAAGTCCAGGGCTTGGAGGATGGGGGTCCGTAGGGGTGGGGCTAGAAGGGTCGGGGCCTTGTATTCGGGAGGGCTAGCCCTAGAGCTTAGGGGTCTCGAGGACAGAGTTGGAAGCCCGAGACGAGTGAAGGGCGGAGCCAGGATGACGAAGGACATGGGGCAGGACCGTGAGGAGGTGGGTCGCCAGAGGGGCTGTAGACCGCGGTGAAGGGCATAATGAGGGAGGGTAGCAGGGGCTCAGGAGCAGGGCTATGAGGAAGTGGACTTGGGGCTGGATCGGAGGCGGGGCCGGACGCTGACGCAGGCTGTGGAGCGTGGGGGCGGGCCCAGGTGAGCAGGGCCACCGCCCCCTCCGCCCCTCCTCCCCGGTACCCTCCGTGGGTCGGGCGGACGGTGGCTGGCGGCCTCTTCGTCCCAGGCCAGGTCCGGCTCCATCTTGGGCCGCTGAACCGGCACCTGTGGCGGCCGCAGGAGAAGCGCTTCCGCCGGCCAGCGCGGCCCGGGGCGGGCGAGAGGGTGAGAGGCCGGTTCCAAGTGTGCCCGTGGGGGTGGGGTGGGCTGACATGGGCGGTGCCTCCCCTTCCTGCGCCCCGGAACCCCACACCTCACCTCTATTTGAGCTCAGACCCTCTGCTTCCCCGCCCCTGCCCCGCTCTCGGTGCCCCGCAGGGCCGCATCCCTTCTCCCGTGCCTCCTTTCATTGCCTATCCCATGCCCTCGTCTGTGTCTCCTCTGCCCATCCTCCCAGTACTCTGCCCAGAACCCCGTCTCCTTCTGCACTCACCCCCGCTCCTAATCCCCCTCCCTTGACCCTTCCTCCGCCGTACCACCGCACTTTCCGCCCTCAGCCCCAAACCTCCCTTCCCTCTTATTTCTCCTGCCCTCCTCCCTACCCCCTTGCCTCACAGCCCCATTGATCTCCCTTCAGTTACTGTCTTTGCGGCTGGGAAGGTCTGTAGCCGACTTTGGGGATCGTGGTGAGGACCTTCTCCCTGATTCTGGGTGGGCTTTGAGCAAGAGGGGCAGACAAGGGAGCCCTGCCCTGGGAAGGGTGTGTGGTCGGCTATGTGTTGAGGCCTTTGGCCTGGCAGCCAGAGCAGGCCTGTGCGATTGGTGTGCAGATGCAGCTGGTGTGTGGACGCTGTTTCCTGCACAGCACAAGGGCTTGTGCGTCCATCGGTGGTGTGTCTGCGGGTGAGGTGTGGGTTCATGGCGGTGCATGGGTGCCCATGAGTATGCAGGCAGGGACACACCAGCCACTGGGGATGCTTCTGGTTTGGGGCAGCAGGGCTTGGAGGCTTACCTTCTCCACCCCGGTACGTCCTGGGAAGTGTGGGCAAACCCTCCTCAGGGGAGGAAGCTCGGGCTGATGGGAGCTTGAGCTTCTTTCTCGTGAGCAGAGCTGGGTCCTTGGGTCCACTGACGCACAGTTACCCTAGAACCCTTTCTTGGCACAGCTTGTTTCTGGGCATCTGGTTCTTAAAGGCCCTTCTCTGTGATGGGCAAGTTTTGTCCCCTGTAAACACTCCCGCTCAGGAATGTTCCCTGTGGCCTTGCCCAGCTTTGGCCTGGAGCCCCCTGTCAGTCTCACATTCACTGCTGGCATGGATCAGACCACCTGCTGAAGGTTGCCATGCCCCCACTCTGCAATGAGGGATTTATGAGGTGTGTTAGTTTACCTGGTCCCTGGGTGCTAGGGTCCATATTTTAACATTTGAGCAGTTTCCCCTCCTGACCACATGGGTTTGCCTTTCCTGTTTTGGTTTTGCTGGAAGCAGAACTCATTATCTAATTGCCTGTCCCTTAGGAGGGGGCTTATGTGGATGCCGCAAGTGTGGTCTGAGAGAGGGCCTGCTTGTGGTGGCCTTGGTTGTCCCCCTTGGTACACACTGAAAGGCCTGTGCTCCTGTGCTGGGGTGACATAGCAAGAGCTGGAATCTGACCAAGAGATGGAGCAGTCTCTTTGGTTGGGCCAGCCTGGAAGTTTCTGCGGAACTGGGAGCTTTTACTGAAAATCACATTGGTTGATTGCTGCGTGTGAAGCTGGCTTCTCCTCCACTCACTGACAAGCAGAACCGAGGCAACAGGACAGTCCTGCATTAGCCACAGGGCATTGGCCACAGGGCATCGGCCACTCCCCAACTTTGGCATCAAATGGGGCAAGAGAGAGAACATTAACATGCCATCCAAAGAAAACTAGGGTCCTTGGATATCCCTATGTGCCTGTCTTTTATCTTGTGCTAAAACATCTTCCCAGGGGCACTTTGGGGTGAAACCAGAGCCTTTTCCGTGGTTTTCTGGGCATTTAGAATGCAGACTTCAGACTTGCGTGTGTGTCCATGCACGGGTGCCAGCATGTGTGTGTGTATCCTCCCAAATTAAGCTTTGAAATAGACTGGGAAAATTAGTTTGGTGAGGAAGACACTGGGGACACTGCTGGTGACTATGTCCTAGGATGGGATGGATGAAGGTAGGAAGGATTGGGAAGCAAGATTAGGCTAACCTATGGCATGTCTCAGTGGCTTCCTAAAAGGGCCTTTCTGTACCCCTCCTCCCTGCCAGTACTAGTTCTTATGATACCTTTAGCAGAAGTCACTCCTGTTGGAAGAGGGAAGAAAAGATTATGATTAACAATCGCCATTCCAGACAGTCCATATACCATCACATTTAGTCTTCACAACAACCCTGCAGGGTGGGGGTTTACTTCTGTTTTGCAGATTGGGGAAACTGAAGCCCAGAGAGGCTAGGTGTCTACCTGGAGGCATTTATGCAGGAAGGTGGAGGAGCCAGGGTTGGAAGCAGAACCCTTGCCCCCCCTGTTCACCCATGGCTCCCAGGCACATGTGCTCCGCTCCCATCACTGCCTGCAAGGCCCCTCTTCTTTGAGATAGGAGGCATGGGAAACCGCCTTCCCTGACGGATAACCTGGGTGACTGCCCTCAGAGGCCTTCCCTCCCTCAGGCTGGGAAGGCCAGGTTAGAAGAGGAATACCCAACCTGCTGGGGTTCAACTGTGGGTTCTTTGACATTTCTGAGCAGCTTCAGGTCTCAGTTTTGTCACCTGCCACTTGTGGATTAGGATGAGGGAGAGAATCAGAAGCTCCATATCCCCTGCCCTCCTGGGGTCTTTGTGGTCACTGCTCTCTCTGCGCCATGGCTAGCCCTGGGCACTGGGAAGCCACCTGGTAAGGCAGGCACAGTGGGACCCTTGTCACTGATGGCGTCTCACTTGCTCCTGGTGGGTCTGAGAGCACCCCAGCCTCATTCCACATGTTTCCTCAGGGGGGCCAGGCCCTGGCTTGGCTCTTTATGGCCTTGCTCCTTAGGGTCTGAGGGAGGTGGAGCTCAGCCAGAGGCTATGCAGTCTGTCCGGATGAGACCTTCTTGGCATCTTAGACCTGAGCTGGGTGGTTGTCTGCCTGCTAAGGGCTGTTGGAGACCACAGTCTTCCCAGCCTGCAGGTGCACCTCCTGCTCTCCTGACTCTAGGCAGCCTAAGAAGTTGCTAAAAGCAGGTGGGGTGGAGGTCCAGGCTTTGTTCTCACTTATTCACTTGTTCCACTGGCATGTCTTAGGCACCATTGCGAGTGCCAGACACTGCTGGGTGCTGGGCTCTAGTTAAGTCAGGGCAACGGGTAAGTAAAAAGATGATGACAGTAGAGGGTGAGAGCGTCCAGGACAGAGGTCTGCCCAGAGGGGTTGGGGCACAGAGAACCATAGACACTCCTGGGTTTGATTCTTAGCTTAGCTACTCACCAACTGTGTGCCCTTAGATGAGTCACTACACCTCTCTGAGTTTTGGCCTTCTCGTCTATAGAATGTGAATGATGATGTATCTCATGAATTTGCTCTGACAAGTAAATGTGCTGGAAGAGATGTGGCACATCCTGGCATGTGGTGGGTGATTTGGTACTGGGAGCCATCATCATCATCACTGTGATTTTTATTGGCTTTGTTGCCCTTCTCGGTTTATATGTTCATCATACAGCTCCTTGAGGGTGGAGCCTGGTCATAGTCTCACTTGGCTAGTCATCCTTTTCTTGACCTTTCCAGGGACCAGTCTGGTGTCAGTCCCAAAGAGCAGCCAGGGTGGGACACTCCTGCCCAGGCTAGTGCTGGATCTAGAACTGCAGTCTAGTATGATAATCATTAGCCACATGTGGCCAGTGCCTACTGTATTGGACAACGCAGAGTAGAATCTTTAATCATCGCAGGAAGTTGTATTGAACTGGACTCCATAGCAAGCCTTGAGCTCTCGGGGGACCATAGCTTCAGAAACATCCTCACTGTTGGCTTAGACAGCCACCAGCCATCTGCTGAGCACTGGGACAGCAAGAAGTTTGTAATTATACAGAAACTGAGTTCCTGAGGGCCCTTCCCATATTCCCTTTCAGGTGGCCTAGCTCTCCTGGCCCAGGTGGTTGGGTTTTGGCATTCTTATCAGCCCAGGGATGGGAGGGCAGGACTTGAATTGCGCAAACTCTACCTGTTACCTGCCGTCCCTACCCTATTTCTCCAGCCCATCCTGCTGGGCAGGGAGTCCCAGAGCGATGTTCTTAATTCACAGCTGTGGCCAGGGCTAGCTGGCCCAGATGTCCTAACCCCCCTTCTTTTAGGGCCTTGCACAGCCTCCAGCCCGCTTCTCCCCTTGGGTGCTCTGAACATATGCCCTCCTGCCTTCTGCTCACCCTGTTTCTTCCCCCTGAGCACCATTTTCCTCCTCTCTCTCCGGGCCTGACTTACGTGGCTGGGACTTTTCTTATCCATTATACAAAGTGAGCTCTCCTGCTTCAGAAATGCCCTTCCTCAGACCCTGTTTTTGGTTCTCAGCACTTTTCCTTTGTAGTTTACTCTTGTATTTGCTTGTTCTCTTGGTCAGGCATACAGTAGACTTTCTCTGAGTGCCAGGTATGTGTCAGGTTAGTGCTAGGTGCTAGACAGATAGGGGAACAGGCCCCAGGCCTGCTTTCACAGCTTCAGGCTGGTGCGAGGCCTATCGTTGGCCAGTCTTTCATCCAGGCCAGACAGCACTCAGCCAGACATGGCGCCAGCCCAGCTTGGGAAAGCTTCCCCAGGATGAGACACAGATTGAAGGGACCGGTGCTGACTCAAGGCTCTGGATGGGTCAGTGGGCAGGTCCAGAGGGGTCTGTGTGGCTGGAGGAAGGGACAGGAATGGCAGGGAGAAGGGGGCAAGGACAGTGCAGGCATACTTGGCAAGAGGGCGTTTAAACTTTATGGAGGGTGTGTCTGATTAGTGGTATGGGACCCCATTCCCAGGGCACAGGCGGATCTAAATTAGAGCCTGGTATGCAGTAGGTGTTCAGAATATGGCTGTGGAATGAATGAACAAGTGCCGAGTGAGTCCTGCATGTGAAGGGCTGGTACGGGGGTCCTCTCCCTACCCTTGGAGCCTGGGAGATGGGAGTCAGGAAATCCCTGTCTCTTCACAGCTGCCAAGACTGAGTCTCAGAGCCATGACAGCTCAGCCGGGCTGGGCCAGAGAGAACGGGGGTGGGTCATGGGAGAACCCGGGACAGCTCTCAGTGTGTCCTCTGTTTACTGCTTGTTCCATCTCAGACCTTCTCTGGGCCCCCATTCCGTACGAAGGAGGCCCCAGTCCTGACCCAGATGGATACTGACAGCCCTGGGAGGAGCCAGGCTAGTATTCACCTGTCGAGCTTTACTGGTTATTAAAATACTTGCAATACTTCTGTGCTCATTGACTAAGAGCTATTGTATCAAAGCCCCTACCCACAAAGCCCCAGCAGAGTTGGCCTCTCCCCTGGCTTCCCCTTCATCCCCATAATCCAGCACTGAAGAGTCCACACTGGCGTGGTGGGTGGTCTCTAGGAACCTGCTTTCAGGCTGGTTCTAATCACTTGGTACTGGTTATTAGATATTTGTACTGTCATTCCTGTGTATAATGTGTGATGACTTTGGTTTGAAGTGTTTGGTGTCTTGTCACTGTTTTGTCCCCCCAGTGTGCCTAGCACCCTGTGAGCCCACAGCAGAGCCCAGTAGAAGTGCTGTCACCCAACTCAACTCCACTCCCTCCCTCCCTCTCTCCTGCAGGCAGCCATGACCACCAGCCACCCTGAGCCGGGTGCCCGGGCACCCCTGAGCCCCCGCCCACAGTCCCTGTCCCGGAGCTCTTCCAGCCTGCTGGGTGAAGGCCAGGGACAGAGGGCAGAGCTCCGAAAGAGTGCCAGCAGCACTGTATGGCAGGCCCAGCCGGGTGAGGCCATCACCAGTCCCCAGGTCCCAGAGGAAGAGGGGCCCCAGGCTGAGCGCACGGAGCAGACACGGGCCTCCAGCCCCCAGCCACGGCCCAGTACTGTGGGCCACTGGCGGAGCAGCACTGTGGGCAATGTGTCTACCGTGGGTGGTGGTGACCTGTGTTGCCTACGAACCCCCAGTGCCACTGCTGTACAGAGGAGCCACTCAGACCTGGTTCATAGCACCCAGACCCGGGGCCACAGTGGTGCTCGGAAGGCCAGCCTCAGCTGTTCAGCTCTTGGCAGTTCACCAGTCCACAGGGCTCAGCTGCAGCCCAGCAGTACTTCTGGCCACGGATGTCAGACCCCTGCAGGTCTGGAAAGGGACCTGGCTCTGGAGGATGCAACTTCGAGCTCAGCCTGGACACTAGGAGAGAGTCAGGTGGCACCACTAGACCTGGTCAGCACAACCATCCACAGCAGCAGTCCCAAGGCTGCGCCCAAAGCCACTGGGCAGTCGGCTACCACCTCCTGCCATGCTCTGCCCCCAGCAGCTCTACTCTGCAGCGTGGGGGAGGCGGGGACAGGTGGCTACTGCCATGCCCTGCCTGCCCCAGGGATCCTGGCCTTTCCCAAACTGGTGGCATCAGTGAGTGAGTCTGGGCTACAGGCTCAGCATGGGATGAAGTTCCAGTGTAGGTTGCCTGGAGCACTTCCTGGGCATTCCCACTGCTGTGTCCACCCTTGGGGTCCCACTGGGTTAGCTATGGAGACTGGTGCCAGGACCAAGGACGTGTGCACCATGACCTCAGCCAGTGACTTGGGCCCTGTGTTGGCATCCTCTCTATCAGCCCAGGATGCTGGTGTGCAGGTGGCCCCCATGGCAGTGTGCAAGGCTGTGGCCACCAGCCCACCCCTGGAAGCCCCTATAGCCCTGCACACATTCCCAGAAGTAACTCTGGAGTCCAGCCTGGAGGAGGAGTTGTCCCCTGTGCGGGATGTTCGATGGGATGCTGAAGGCATGACATGGGAGGTGTATGGAGCTGCTGTGGACCCTGAGGTGCTCGGCGTGGCCATCCAGAAGCACCTGGAGATGCAGTTTGAGCAGCTGCAGCAAGCGCCTGCCAGCGAGGACAGCCTGTCTGCCGAGGGCCGGAGGGGGCCGCTTCGAGCTGTCATGCAGTCTCTGCGGCGCCCCAGCTGCTGTGGCTGCGCCAGCACAGCCCCCGAGTGAGGAGCTGCAGCCTAAAGAACTGTCCTGGGCCCATGGACTCAGCCCCAGGCCAGGGCCAGGGACGGTGGGAACCACATCCTCCTCGAACCCACTGGCAGCCATGGACACGTCTCTCTTATCAGCTGCCGGCAGACCACAGGACTGCAGCCTGGGACTTCTTGCTACTTGCAGCTGTGCTGGTTTTTAAGGGCTTGATTTCCAAGAGCCACATCTCTACACATCCAGGCTCTGAACGTTGGGACAGAGTTTCAGCACTGTGCATGAGGGAAATCCTGAATTTTCTGTGAAAATACTCGCCTTCTGTTCAGTCTCTTTTCAGAACTCTGCTATGATTTCCCCTAGGACTCTTGGTGGCTTTATTTTAAAGCAGTGCTGAGATATACTGAATCCTTGACATGAAGTGTGGGGCCCCAAGTGACGGGGATTGGCTGGGTGTTTAGAGAAGGGAACTGACGCTGTCAGAGGCCGCCTGTGTGCCACACACTGTGCCTGTCACCTGTCCTTGCTGAGCGTTCACCTCTTCACCCCGTTTTACAGGCGAAACCACAGACATTTGGCATGGCTGTGGCCGACATGCCCAGGTTGGGCAGCTTGAAGTGGTGGGCTCAGATTCAAAGCAGGGATGGCTGAAGGCCGGGGCGTTCTCCTGCAGCACATGGCCAGTCAGTGCAGGGTGGCCGTGAACAAGAAGAATTTATTGAGCCCACATTCTGTGCCAGGTTCTGTGGATCCCTTGGGGAGTGAGACAGAGGCTGCCTGTGTCCTCGCTGAGCTCACAGTGTAGAAGGGGTACACCTCAGTACCGGGGTGCTGAGCATTTCAGAAGGGCCACAGTGTGCTTCTAAGTGTCACCTCCCTTGTAGGCCACTGTGTCAAGGGGCTGGCCTCAGGAAGGGGAGAACAGGTGGCCACCTGTCCCCAAATACGTCACAGTGCCTGAAATTGCACCATTATCACCTCATTCCTTTGGTTTAAGGATTTATTTTCAGCTGGTGCAGTTCTTCAAAGGAGGGAGGGCAGGAATGGACGGCAAAAGGGAAGGAGCCTGGGGCGGGGTCTCCCACCTGGTGGGAAGTGGCGGAAGCTGAGAAGCTGTGGGCTTCAGGGAGGCCTGTGGGCCTATTTGTCTGGTCCTGCCCATGTGACCTGACATGGACCAAGGATCATGAGGGCCAGTGGATCTTAGGGGTTGGGGATCCCAGGACACCAGGGCTTGGCACAGCCTGACTTCCTTGCCCAAGGATCTCTCAAGGCCTGTGGAGGACGGGAGGGGACTTCTGTCCTCGTGTTGGAGCTTAGTGTTGAAAATCCAAGTTCCTAGGACAAAACCCACCTGCCCACCCTTGTGAGAGCCAGAAGGTTAGTGTCCTGCCCAAGGTCACCCCACAGGGGAGGGTGGAGTGAGGGCTATCATGCATACCTGCCCATAATCTGGCCCTATCCCTGGGCCCCCCTTCTGTACCTGGGAACCCAGGACCTGACAGCTGGCTTACTTTTTCTCACCCCCAGGGACCTGGAACTCACTGAGGTGGAAGTGACTCAGGCAACAACGGGTTAATTTTTAAAGCAGGAGTGACCTGCTAACAGGCCAGAGGAGCAAGGTGAGAAAGGCATGCTTCAGGTCAGAATGCCTACCAAGGTCTCTAATGGGCCTTCTTACCCAGAACCATGCCTTTCCCAGTCCTAGCTGGGCCTGGTAAAATGCCACCCCTGCTTAAAAATGAGAGCAAATCAGAACCACTTCTGCCAGTGGGGCGGGGGCAGAAGGGGTGGGTGTGATGGGCTGGAGGAGACTTGACCTTGCCTCCCTTTTAAAATGTCACCAAGCAGGTTTTCAAGCAGTCATGAGGCTCTGTCCAACCCCGGATGGGCCTGCCTGTCGCTCTGTGTGTGGTACAGGGCAGGCACATCACTCTCTGGGCGGTGAGACATGGGCACTGGGCTGTCCTCATGCTTGACCCTGCACAGGGGCTCTGGGAGCCCCAGCCCAGTGGGGCCAGATTAGAGAGATCAAATGGCTGTGGGGACGTGAGGGCAGAGGTGATGAACTGGAGTGGGGAGGGCACCTTCCCACAGGGCCATAGCTGAGCAGGGTCTTGAGGACATGGCGGGGCAGAGGGAGAGGGGTGTACTAGGCAGAGAGAGAACAGCCTGGTCAGAGGCTTGGAGCTGCCTGGCCTGCTTGGGCTGTTCTGAGTCACTACAATGTAGGCTGTGTTGGGGTGGTCATTGGGTTGGGAGGCTGGCAAGGGGGTCCCCATTGTGAGGATCCTGGTGTGAGTGAGGGAAAGGACTTAAGGGAGCTATGGAGGGGATGGTAGGGTCAGACTTCATTTTAGAAATAGCCCTTTGGCTGCCATTGGAGAGGAGATTAGTGCGGAAGGCAAAGCCTAGGGGGATGGGGCCTGTTAGGAGGACGCACACACGATGCGCAGTGGATTTGGGAAGGAGGGGGAATTTCAGGTGGCTGAGGTTTCCAATTTGAGCAAGAGGTGAGGCCACCACCTGGGACAAGGGGAGGCAGTTGGGAGGTTCAGGAGGGGCAAGTGAAGGGCCACATGCTGTGGGGTTTGGATGGGACCAGCAAAACCCTTCATGCGGAGACTTTCTCCTGTGTCATATGCAGATTCTCATGAGTTCACTCTCTTGCTGATGTGTGCCAATCTGTGCCACCTCCAGGCTGCACCTGGCATGCCCAGATGACAGGCTGGGCTGGGCTCTGAATGGGAATGGGATAGCTGAAGCTACCCACCCCCTCATCTTGACCAAGATAAATATTTGCAGAGTGGTGCTGAAATCCAGCCTGGCTGGGGCCCCCAGAACACCCTTTTGGTTATGCTCACTGCCCTGAGACAACAGGAACCTAGCCCTTAACCTCACTAGTCAGGATGCACAGCCTCAGCTGGCAGTCTACCTAGAGTGACAGCAGCTTAGTTTCTGAACTTGCCCTGGAGACAGAAACCTCCACCCCCTCTCACCTTGCTGTGGCCCCTCCCTGCCCAGGCCTGACTGGCAGTTGTTCAGGGTCTCAGGACATGACCACCAGCTTAGTTTACAGGTCTCCTCTCAGACTCCAGATTTAGGACCAGACTTTCTGGGTCCCCTTTAGGCCCTGCTCTGGGAGGTGGTGGATTTCATTATTTGTATGTTTTGTTTTGTTTTGGATTTGAAATAAAGTATTGGAGGTCAGAGCTTTGCCAGGGAAGGGTCATTTGTCCTGACTGGTCTTGTTTTTTTTTTTTTTCTGGTGGATTCTGTGCTTTGGAAAATTCATCCCAGATTACTAGAGCTCCCTGCCCAGGCAGGAATCCCCCTCCCTTCTGCCCATGGCCCTCCTGCCTGGCAGCCTTCCAGATGCCAACAGCTGGATCCTGGCTTCCTGGAGCGTGTCCCTCCAGGCCTGGCCAGGACATGGTATGCATCTCTTGTCCAAGCCCCAGGCTGCCATCCCCCTTGCAGGGAACCACTAGTCTACCTGGGGGAGCTGTTCCTGCCAGAAGGTAGGATACTGCTGCCCGAGGACACAGTGCGAGGGGGGAGGGTGGAAAAGCAGAGAATGGCCCTGTCCCACTGTGACATCACCTTCTGTGTCCGTTTGATTGGGTGTCTGTTCCCTAGAAGTGCTGGATTCTTATGTCATAGGGGCCAACAGACATGCCTTCCCAGTGCGGATCCTGGCACTTAGGACATGAGGGTGGGGTGCACTGTAGCTTAGTGGTTTAAAACTTGAATTTGAATCCTGGATCTCACCTAAAGTTGTTGAGATCATGGGCAAGTTACTAACTTTGTGTATCCTCAACTTCCTCATCTGAAAATGGATATGATAAAGGTGTCTCCTCAGGCTTGCTGTGAAGATTAAATGCAATAACCCACGTAAAGTGCTTGGCACTGAGGTAACCCTCCGCACATGTGCTTGTGGTATTGGGGGTCACTTCTGTAGCCGCAGGCAGGGGCTAATTCTCGCCCACATCCTGTCTCTGACCATTCCTCATTCAGAGCCTTTTTCCAAGTCCTCCGCCCTCCACTTTGCACCTTGTTTGGGACACGAGTGCTCCGGCCCGTGGCCCTCAGAGACTGTAGTTCCCAGCTGCACCGGTCTGGGGCTGGGCTCCCTGGAAGTTGTGCTGGGATGAGGATTCTGGATTTATTAAGGAAGGGGGAATGAGGAGCACAAGGTACAGAAGGGACAGAAACCAAGCCAAGGGTGTGATTTCAGGTAGACTCCTGGCCTCACCCCGGTCCCACGGGGGACCCCTGGGGGACAGGTTCTACTTCAGGGTATGGGCTGGGGGTGGAGTAAACTCCAGGCACTTCTGGCTCTGGCATGCAGGCTAGGAAACTCCAGGAGCCCTGGTGCAGGTCTCACATGGGGTTGTAGGGCTTATCCCAGGGGAGGGGTACATATAAATCGTGGGTGTCTGAGGGTTCTGGGAGCACATTGGCTGATGGTTGTATTCATGTCCTGAGCAGCTCCTCACCCAGTAGACTTGTGTGGAGCCTGAGACCCACAGAATGCCCAGACCTTCTCTCTCTGAGTTGCTTTGAAGCAGTTCTGTCTCATTTGTGTTCATGCCAAGAGACCCTGGTTCCTGAAATGCAGAGCTTTGCATGTGCCCATGTAAACTCTTTTCTCAGTCATCATTTTGGCCTGGCCCAGTTTTGTCATCTGAAGCTATGACTAGTCCTTTATCAGTTTCCATCCAACTTGTTAGGCAGCTCAGGGCCAGACAGAACCTGGGGTCTGTCACTGGGTTGTCCTGAGGTCAGCACTGGTCCCCACATCCCTATGAATCCACACAGTCATCATGGGCAAATTAATTTCAGACAAATTTGTTAAAATCCAGATCTTCAACCTCAGTAGCACTCTCTCACCCTAACTGCAGCCCAAGGCCTCTCCCCTCCAAACAAGGAAGGAGGGGAGCAGGGCCCGGTTTCCGTCCTGGTTCTCGGCAGGGCTGGTTCTGGTGTTCACGGCTTCCCTTCCTAAGAGCTTAGCTACTTCTGGTCAACAAGCTGTTCAAGAAGTTTGAGATCAACAGCACGCTAAGATTTACAGACTCTATCTTCTTACCCTTGTGGAGACTGGGAGCTGCCCCACCCCTGCCCTTGGCACCTCCTCCTCTTTGGCACCCTGGGGCTTACCTCACGTTTTCTGGAGGTGATTTGAGGGGGAGGGGCACGATGCTCATCACAGCCAGTCTCTAGCACCTTCCTCATGGAGACTTTCCCCCCGGGTAGCTCACCCTTATGATGGGGGTCTTTCCGAAGCTGGCTGGAGGTCTCCCTGAAAGGTTTTCCTCTGTGGCAGAACCTGGGGCTGGTTCTGTTGCTGTGCTTATAGAGAGAAAATAAGCCAGGAAAAACATCTGGAAAAGTCGACATTTATTTAAGAAAACCAAATCAAACTAAAGTTGCATTGGCCTATATAGGACTGAGGATGGACAGGTGGAGTCTGACTTTTGCTACATCTCATTTGTGTTTGTGCTAAGGGACCCTGGTTCCTGAAATGCAGAAAACACCAGTGGCCTTTTCTCACTTTCTCAGTGACTCTCCAGGACTCATGCCTCATTTCTCCTCCTCCAAGCCCAAGATGGCTCAGCAAGGAGGCAGGTCTGGACCCTGAAACAGCTCCCAAATGGGTTTCTTAAAATCCGTTTTCCATGGCACCACTTTAAAGGAAAGAATGTGGAAATTGTAAGAATATGGAGCTCAGGGTTGGTGAGTGTCCAGTATTAAGGTGTTACGGCTTTTAGCCATGTACTCCTCACCCAGTCTGTCCTGGTCTGGAACTTTTCATTCCCCGACTTCTTTCCTGAGAATAGACATAGGGTGCTTTCTTAGCCTCCTGTGAACACGGCCGCAGGAGTGCAGTGCCTCCATGGATGTGCAGCCAGGGACAAGTGGGGAGGCTCTGCTGGTCCTGTACCCACTTCCCGTGGTGCTCTTTCGCCCCCACCCCCTATTTCTCCTGAATCTCACTTTCCCCCATTTTCTCCTTTCCTGTCTCATGTCCTCTTTGCCCCCCAGGAAACTTGTGTCTCCCCACCGTCCCCCTATCCTTGCCCTGCGTCCTTCCCCTTATGCAAAGGGTCTGCCTTGCCGTATCCCTCGGCTCCAATAGCACTCTCTCTTTCTTTGGTCTGTGCCATATCTCCCCCGCCACCACTGGGCCTGGCTCTCTGCATTCCTACTTTTCATAAAGCTAGACACTTCTTCCCCATCTGTTCTTTCTTGCTTTGGATGAAAACAAAAACATTTGAACTTGAGACAGTTTTTGAGCATCTTCCTAGAAGAGAGCCCTCACTGGGCACCCTGGGGTTGCTTTGTCAGGCTTCTATCACTTTTGCCCCAAAAGAGAAAATGGTTATCAGTGGTCCTGCTGGGTGAGTTGGAGAGATTTTGGTCTGGCTGGAAGGGCATCCCATCAGTCCTCAGTTTTGGTGGCCTTATTGGGGCCTGGCTGGCTAGGTCACTTGAGGGGTACCAGGTGGGTGTTGCCCATCTTCTGGCTTTAGGTGGGCCATCTCGTCTTCAAGTTTTCAGAATCTTCTTGCTTGGCTTGTAAATTAGGTTGGGGCCATGCCTGGGCCTCAGTGGGGACGCACTGTGCTGTCCCATCTCTGTGCCTCTCTCCTGTGTGGGACTGGGCTTGTGTCTAGGAGCCAGGGCTGGGGTTAGGGGGAGAAGACTTTTGTCTTTGTGCAAAGTGGACACCTGAGAAGGTGTCCACTGAGAAGGCCTGAACAAGGCCCAAATAGGGAGAACTTGTTGGGGCGGGAATTTCCATGGCTCACCAAGGAACTTAACTTGGGGTGCTGGAGCCCAGCTGGGGAGGAGTGGAATTGCCCCCTCACCCCAGGCTCTCTTGGCCCCTCACCTTTAACCATCTGTGTTGCCCTTCCTCTGGTCACTTCTCATTTTAAGCAGTCAAGGGTTTGGGAAGGTGGTGACTAAGGGGCCATTTTGTATGCAAGCTTTGTGGCTTTTATCAGCCCAGCCTTTGTCTCTGGAGGAAGACTCTGGTTTGATTATCTTTCCCTTCAGAGTTGGGGGAATTTAATGAGAGGGAAAAGGGCTTCATGCAAAGATTCCAACTCTAGAACTCTCCCAGATGCAATCCCTTGTTGCATCCCCTTGGGCATGACCCACAGGGCTGAGGAAGAGCAGTAGGACCAATAGGACTGTGGTCCCAAGAGGGCTGGGACCAGAGCGGGGCACTACTGGAGGCGCCAGGAACGTTGTCTGAGTCTTGCTGAAGGCAGGACAATCGGGTGGGAAGTTGGATCCTGCCTTTATTTTCATTTTTAATACTTTATCATTTATTTTTTGCATTAATTTTGATTTAAAATTATTGCATGACAATGTTTATCTTGATCACCGAGTTTTTTTGCCTGCCCCCTAACTTTTGCACCCAGTCCCAGCCTGGTCTCCTCCTTTTCCCCAGAGCCTTGGATCCCCTTAGTCCCCTGTGGTTACGGCTGGGAGCAAAGAGGCCTCTTTCGCGTCTCCCTCCCCACGTCCTCACCACTGACGAGTGCTGCGCAGCGCTGGGGAGGAGAGGACGCTAGGTACTGGTGGGGAGAGCTGGCTTCGGCCTCGGTCCCAGGTGGCCGGGTGGGGTCCAGTCCAGGGCACCCCCCACGAGCAGGAGCAGGGCAACCCGCACGGTGGCCCGCGGGAGGAGCCCAGACGCCCTCTAATGGCCGCGGCGCCGTCAACCTAGCTGGGAGCGCAGGCTAGGGGCCACCAATCCTGTCCTGGCCAGGAGGGGCCTCGAGCTAACTCCCGTGGGTCTGGTCTTGGGGTGGAGGGTGGGGTGAGGCGCTGCCTTCCGACGCGGGGCAGGGTAGGGGAACGACAGTCCCTGCCAGGTCATGTTCCTTCGCCTTCCCTTCCCCCTCCGCCCTTCTTCCGGACACTCCCAGCCAACCAGGTCTGCTGGATTCCGCAGAGGAGGACAGAGATAGAGAAGGTGGAGGAGGTGGAGCACAGACAGGTGACAGCGGTGGCCTTTGGGGAGAAGACAGCCTCACTTTACTTAGACCTTTGATTCCGGATGTGACTTACACACCCTGAGGGGGCTGGATGTAGGGCCGTCAGTTGTTCCACCCTAAACTTCATGTGTTTTTGTACCCCTTCTTTGGCTTGCCTTTGTCTTTAAATTTACCTAAAGCCTCTAAACTGCGGGGGTGGTCCCACCCCCAAGAGGGTTTTCTTTCTGGGCCATGGGGAGAGCAGGTGTGGACAGCCAGGATTGGGCTTCCCCTTACAGGGGACTGACCCTGTCTGGCAGAACACACCACAGAGAGGAATGTGGGATGCAGTGGGCTGAGGAGGAGGTCTGAACTAGAGCTGACTGTCACAGAGGAACTGAGGCCTAAAGTTCAATGTGGTGGGGCTTACTCTTTCCCCCTGTCATTCCTTACCTGGCATGGTCTCCGCCAGCTTCATCTGGTGCCTAAGGCCAGCAGGGATGATGGCAGCCAAGAGAGAGATTAGAGGGAGAGCCTACTCCTGACAGCAGGTCAGGCAGGAGTACTGGGGAGGGCCTCATGATGGCAGAGTGGCAATGCGGTGGGTGTATATGGAACTGGAAGAGTGGAGCCTGCACAGGAGTGGGCTTCTCTTCTTCAGTGGGGGAGAGGGAGTGGCTGTGTTCAGGACAAACACTCCTCTCTCATTCCATGCCCACAAGGCCTCTGTGAGGTGGGATTTCCCTTAGGACATTTTTGGCTGCAAGTAACTGCATTATAACCAAAAGTTTTCTACACAGAACACTTAATTTCCCACTTAATTCTTAATTTCACTTAAGAATTTAGGAGGTCACTGTTTTAGAGTAGGCTCATTGGCTCAGTGGTTCAGTGAAGACATCAAGGATTCAGATTCTTTCTGAATCTGCCATCTTTAGGGCATCCTCATGGTCACAAGATGGCTCCTGCACCTCCAGACATCACATTTTCATAATAAGGAAGAAATGTACAACCTGCCACAAGAGGCTATTGTAACACACAATTAATTAATTGTAAAACATTGGCTTTTCATAGTCATTGAATGAAGGCAATGATAATATGGCTGCCACATTCTGACACTAAACAAATGGCAGAAGCAGTGATGATGTTTTCCATACATTATCTTCTTATCTTGTTATCTTTCTTTCTTTCTCTCTCTCTCTCTCTCTCTCTCTCTCTCTCTCTTCCTTTCTTCCTTTCTTTCTAAAATTAGTTTCAGGTGTACAACACAGTGCAATAGTTATACTTTTTACCCCTCAAAGTGACAACCCTCTCCTCTAATCCACCACCCCACTCCCCCACCCCATATTATACATATCTATTACAATTCCCTTGACTCCACTCCTACACTATACTCCACATCTCATGACTATATATATATATTCAACTATAGTTGACATACAATATTATACAACATCAACTTCAGGTGTACAATGCAGTGATCAAGCCTCTACCCCATCCATGAAGTGGTCTCCCTAACAAGACGTGACCATCTGACACCCTACAAAATATTTACAACATTATTGATTATATTCCCCGAACTGTCTTTCATATCCCTGTGGCAATATTGTAGTTACCAATTTATGCTGTCTAATCCCTTCCCCTTCTCCCTCATCCCCATCCCACTCCCAGCTAGCAACCATCAGATTTTCCTGTATATCTCTGAGACTGTTTCTGTTTACTTTGCTCATTCATTCAGTTTTTTAGATTCCACGTATAAGTGAACATACATTATCTTCTCACAATTAGCCCTATTTCACAATGACAGCTGAGATTCAGAGAGATCAAGTAACTTGCCCTGTTTTATTACTGGAAATGAGGAAACTGGAATTCAAATTCCAGTCTCTGTTAGGCCTAGCTTTTTGTCTCTTTAAAAATGAAAGGAACACATATCTATGATAAGAATTTCAAACAGTACAGACTTTGGCGTTTATTTGTAGCACTGTACATATTCATTATAAGAATTTCAAATAGTGTAAAGAGTACAGTAAAGATCTGCCTTTCTGCCCCTTTTGCAGATTCCACAGTTATCACTGTAATTTCCATTGGTCCTCTAGGAAATTTCCTCTGTAATCACAGCTCAGACTTCTAAATATTTCATATGAATGAGATCAACTTAGATATTAGTTTACATTTAATTAAAAAAATTAAAGTACCTTACAGATACTATTGCCATATATAGATTCTACTTCCTTCTTTCTCATGGGTATAATTGTATTACATAGAATACAAGTGCTTTTTAAAAAGTTAAACCATTGGGGGCCAGCCGAGTGGCGCGATGGTTAAGAACTGGCTTGGGACGCCAGAGGGCCCCGGTTCGGACCCCACATATGAGGGCCAGGGACACTGCCCTCCACAGCTAAGATGCTGAACAACAGCTCAACCTGGAGCTGGACTGTTGTGAGTCGCCGGCGACGGCATAGGCTGCAGCCCCTGTGGCAGTGGGTTGCCATGGGCTACCGTGTGTAGCCAGCAGTCAGCGTGCGTGGCCAGCAGCCACAGTGAGTGGCCGTCCAGAAGCCGGCGACTGATCTCCCTCGCCTGGGAAGAGTGCAATGATGGTGCCAACTTGGGCCAGTGAAGCAACATCCTCCACAACTAGACTGAAGAACAACAACAAAAAATGACAGCAACTTGTCTGTTCCCCTTCCCCCACTTCCCCAATAAAAATCTTAAAAAAAAAAAATTAAACCATTGCTCTTTTGCTGGACTTTGTGTTATTGCCCATATTTTTGCTATTATAAAAACCATGTAAAAATAAATATCTTTGTATGTATAGTTTTGTGTATATGTTTATATGTGTGAAAATATCTGTAGGATAATGCTTTCAACAGATGGCCATATAAATGTCTATAGATATTGGTAAATTGTTCTTCAAAATGATTGCACCAGTAATACATGCCCACATTTGAGTGTTATCAAATTTTAATATTTTGCCTACTTTGATAAGTGAAAAAATGGCATCTTTTTTGACTTGCAATTCCTTCACTATGAGGAAGGTTGTGTTTAGCTAGACTGCCTGCGTGAGAATTTCTGTTTGGTACTCTCAAGCTGTGTGATGCTGGGCAAGTAGCTGAACCCCTTGGACCTCAGTTTTTTCATTTATAAAATGGGGATTTGTAAATGCCTTATTAATTGGATTTCAGGATTTAATGGCATCATATATGTAAAGTGCTAGCATAGTTCCTAGTTCAAAATAAGGGCTCAATAAATATTAGCTATTATTATTATCTAATATATTTACTGATCATTTGAATAAGTTTATGATCTGCCTATTCATATCTATTTTCCATTTTCATTGGATACCTCTTTTTCTTATTGATTTGTTAGAACTCTTTGTATATTAATAACATAAGTTCCTTTTACATATGTTACAAGTATTTTTTGTTTGTTTATATTTTAATAAACTTTATTTTTTAGAGCAGTTTAAAAAAATTTCTTTTTTCTTAAGCTTTATTGGGGAACAATATGTTTTTTCCAGGACCCGTCAGCTCCAAGTCAAGCTGTTGTGGAGGGCACAGCTCAGTTCTAAGTCCTGTCGCCATTTTTAATCTAGTTGCGGGGGTGGTGGTGGGTGGGGGTCTGCGCCCACCATCCCATGTGGGAATTGAACTGGCAACTTTGTTGTTGTTAAGAGCATGTGCTCTAACCAACTGAGCCATCCGGCTGCCCACCAGCAGCTCAGTGGCAGTAGAGCAGTTTTAGATTGCACAGCAAAATTGAGAGGAAGATACAGAGATTTCCCATATGCCCCTGCACCCATACATGCACAGGCTCCCCCATTACCAACATCCCACAGCAGCGTGGTACATTTGTTACAATTGATGAACCTACATTGACATATCATTATCACCCAAAGACCATAGTCTACATTAGGGTTCACTTTTGGTGCTATGCATCCTATGGGTTTAGACAAATGTATAAGGACAAATATACATTATTATAGTATTATACAGAGTAGTTTCACTGCCCTAAAAATCCTCTATGCTCTTTTTATTCATCCGTCCTTCCCCCCGAACCCTGGCAACCAATGATCTTTTAACTTTTATTTATTTATTTTTATTAGTTTCAGGTGTACAAAACAATGTAATAGTTAGACATCTACACTCCTCACAAAATAACTCCCCTCCCCCAATCCACTACCCCTCTGATATCATATATAACTGTTACAATTCCATTGACTCTATTCCCTATGCTGTACTCCATATCCCGTGACTATATGTATACCACCTTTTGTTCATCCATTCATCCCTTGATGGACACTTGTGTTGCTTCCACCTTTTGGCTGCTGTGAATAGCACTACTATGAACATGGATATAGGTCATAGCCCTCTTTGGTCCTCATTTCATGAGGGGCTTCTACTGGGTGACATTGAAGCATGTTCTATCACATTTCTGGTTATCTATTTACCTTCCTATGAAAGGAGATTCCATTGGCTCTTCCTGCACTGGGATCTGGATTCTATTACTCACAATTCTTATGCAGAAAAAAATACTATTTCTGGGCCAATGCATATGATAAAACTTGACAAAGGCCCCCAAAGTTCAGCTCTAGGTAGATGGCAAAGATGTGAATCTCTAACTCAGTGTTTGAGAAACTCATTTTGGATGGTTCAGAACAATTGCAGGGAATCTTGTTAGACTGGAAATGAGATGTTTTATCTCAGATTCTCCATGAATCTAGCCATATATCTATCCATCATCCACATTCTCCAAGCACCATCTATTCTTACTTATTTGTCTACCCATTTAATGTCTCCATCTTTCATCTATACAAATTTTCATCCCTCCATCCATCCACCCACCCAACCATCCATCCACCATCCATCTCTCCATTGACTCATCCACCTATCTATCTATCTATCTATCTATCTATCTGTCCACTACCCATCTGCCCATCCCTCTAAATTTTTACTGCTCTGAGACAGGCACTACCCAATGCTAGGAGACATAGACAGATATTCTTTTTGTGGAGAAACTCTTAGTTCATGCAGGGAGAAAGACATGCATTTAAGTAATCACAAACCAGCATAAATGGAAGGGGCATGTGTTAGTTAATGCTTTGATTGTCAGAGAAGAAAGTCTCTAACTGCCTGGGGTCGATGAATAAGCCTGAAGGAGGTGGTGAAAATCATCAGGCAAAGAAGGGAGGAAGGGTACCCTATGCAGAAAGCACTGATTGTGCAAAGGTGTGAAGTTACCTGTATGGTTCAAGCTGGGGTGGGGTATGGGGTCTGCAGCCTGACCTTGAATGGGAAGAGCCCTGCTAAGGCCATGGTACATCATTCACTGAGCAGGTAATGTGAGCTGTTTTCTAAGGCCAGAGCTGTGGGAGAAGCCTGTGTCCTTGCCTTGGCCTCCACTGCTCCCACAGACACTGGGCATAGGTGTGGCTGTAGATGTGTATGGGTTCCAGGGCCCTGATGCCTGCACCTCTCCCCATGCAGGGTGCTTCCCTCCATGAGTGGCTCTGTGTGGGTGGCCTTTTCCCACCATAGCACACAAATTGTGAGGGAACAGGTGACAGGGCCTTCTTACTTTGCTCCTCCCTCTTGCTGCCTTGGGTAGTCTTGAGACTACCTTGGCAGTGATAAGCAGGGTGTCCATGGGTAGAAGGGATTCCTGAGGCCTGTTGCCTTATAGCTAGGTGCAACATACAGGAGGGGCTTAACAAATGCAGTATCTACCTCCTTCAGTGCACCACCACTATCCCTGGTTTCTCCAGTAGGGACACTCTTCATGTCTGAATAACACAAGGGAGAAGTGCAGCCCCCCGTTGCCTCTTCAGGAGCTTTCTGACACCCTTCCTCCTCTCCCTGGCCACATCAAGCAGGCAGTGTTGAGGTCTGGGCATGAGATGACTGGGTTCTGGTTGGGCGTGGGCCTGACTGACCACAGGTGCAGGGAGATACCACTGCCCTTCCTCAAATCCCCTGTTCATTCATGGATCTCA